GGTGGGTTTCCTGATGACTGCCCCAGTGCCACCCCACCCAGCTGAGGCCATCCTTGGCCATCTGGCCTTCAGCCTCCCACGGTCCCCAGCACCCTGGCTGTGGCATCGGGTGGAGGACAGGAGAGGCCATTGAGGGGAGGAGGGTCTCAATAAGCTAGTCTGTGCCCCGAGCTGTCCAGCTGGGCTGGCGCCTGGCACAGGGCCCTGGGGACGGCGTGCCGGGTGGTGCTGGGTGGGCTGGGCTGTGCCCCCTGTTCCCCTCCCCCCGGCAGAGGAGAAAGGCCTGGGTCGGCCAGGAGACCTTCAGATCTGCAGATGATAGGATGAGAATCATCTCCAGTGTCCTGGCTGGTGGACGAGAGAGGGTCTGGGTGTTTAGTGAGGTGCCCTGCTTGGGGGGAGGGGTTGGGGACAGCCAAGGTGTGGCTGGCTGGTTTCCAGGCTGGAAAATTGAGCCCCTGGCTCTGCATCCCCTGCCCCACCAGGCTGCACGAGACAGGAATGTCCTCGACAGCAGGCCTGGCAGCTGGGAGGCCCTTCCTGAATCTATTGTCAACTCCGGAAATGGTGGCTTCGCGGGTCACAGCCCAGCACGCTTTGTTTGGGGAGGGAGGGGGGACCAGGTAGAGAGATTGTGGCCTGTAGGGTCCCCATGCTTGGCCATCCACATACCCCGCCTGACTATGGTGGAGCAGGGAGGGACCCCCTGAGACTCTGGTACTATTTGCCCAGACATTGGGAGTTGGGGTCCCCTTTGTAGAGACGGGGTGATGCATGCTCAGAGAGAGTCTCAGCCAGTTGGGATCTGGGGCCTGATTGTGTTGCTTCTCTGACCCGGGAGCAGGACGCCCTTCCCCCTGCCCTATGGTGGCCTCAGCAGGGGGGAGGTCTGGTTAGCTCCTGCTCTGTTCCACAGCAGTGGGGAGGGGTGGTTGGTAGTTGGCTGGCCTCGGAGCTGGGCGACTTCTCTCCTGGCAGGGACGATGGAGTGGCTGTGTCCCTGGTGAAGTCCCTCCGGGCCTCCCATGCAGGAGAAAATGGAAGGATTACTTAAAGCAGCTCAGAGACCCCAGACACAAAATAAAAAATGAGAAGTCATCATTTTAAAGTGTGGGGGCTCCCCAAAACCCGGGTGGTGTGAGACTGACTGCATATGCTGCTGAATTGAATCGAATTGAGAAAAACATTCCCAATGAAAGTAAAACATCTGTTTAATTAGACAGTAAAGAGGAAATTAAAAGTAATATTTTGCAGTGGGGTAATTACTGTCTTTCTGAAGGCACGAGGCTTCCCTTTGGAGGGGTGGGAGGCAGGCAGGCCTGGTGGCTGGGGCTTTCAGGGGTAAAAAGGCCTGAAATTGGGGCAGGGACTCCTTGGGGGCTTGGGCCTGTGGCCACTCTGAGCTGCTAGGATGGCCAGGGCTGCCCTCCTCAGCCTCCCCCTCCTCCCCTGCCTGGGCAGAGGTCTCGAAGGTGCAGGATCAGTGGCATTTCTGCTGTGGAAGGCACAGGATGTGGTGTGGAGGGGGCCGGGGCTGCAGGGCCTGACTTGCCTTTGTCTAGTCCCAGGGCGGTGGCTTCGGGCTGTAGTGCAGGGAGCAGCAGGTGGCCTGGAGACCCTCTCCCTCACCTCCTGGGCACCATGGTGCCCACTGCTAGAGAGACCAGCAGCAGCTCCCAGGGAGAAGCCCCTCCCTGCACCCCCTCCTTGGAGCTCTGAATGCCGGGCGAGGGTGCTGACCCCCAGGCTGGCCTGGCACATGGGGAGGTCTTGAGTGGGGTGTGTGGCTCTGAGTGACCCGGGCGTGCAGTGAGGGTCTGGGCCCCTGTGCTGGGCCAGCCAGTGCTGCCTGGTATGCTTGAGGGGCTCAGGGCTGCGGGGGGCTCTCTGCCCCATTCAGGGTTGCTCCCAGGCAGGTCTCTCCTCTTCTCTGGCCTCTGCCTCCATCTCACCATGTGACCAGGGCTGGAGAGATGGCCCTGCGCATGTTGGGACATCAGGCTGTGCCCTCTTGCATCCCCCATGGAGCAGCTGGGCCGTTGGTGGGGGTGGGGATGGTGAGAAACCCAGTGAGGGGGGCTTGGCTGCCTGTCTTGGGGGGGATTTGGTCCAAAAGTAGGCTTTGGCCTTGGTGCTGTCCTGCCAGGGTGCTGGGGCAGCCATGGGGGGAGGCGTTCTGGCAGAGGTCCTGTGCTTTGGCTGTCTCCCTGGTGGGCTCGAGCTTGCTGGGCCACCCCCTTCCTAGCACAGACCCCCGTGGCTCCCACTTGGGGCTCGATGCCCAGTGCCCAAGGCCTGCATATGGCTGGGGCCTCCTGGGCAGCTGCTGTCTGGATTCCTGATGACCCAGCTTGACGGGGGGCCTAGGCAGGGGGAACTGGGCTGGGGCTGCTCGGCTTCCTGTCATCTCCTCCTTCCCACCCTCCGCCTGGCCAGGCCGAGGTGGGGGCTGGTGCATTCTCAGGTTGGTCAGGGCAACCTCCCTGCCCTGACTGGCTCTGCTCTGGCCTGCCCTTCCGGCTTTCCTTCCTGCCTCCTGCCATGCAGGCTGTGAAGGGGGTGGCAGGGTTGGGCTCCTCCAAGGCCTGAGGTCCCCAAGGCAGGCGGAGGCCTTCTGGCCTGTCCAGAGGTCCTAGGATAACAGGCTGCTGGGCCTGACCTGGGGCCTGAGGTAGGAGCTGGGGGTGGGGTGGGGAGGCGGTGGGGGCTGGGGCTGGGCTGGGGTCTGGGCTGCCTTTCCAGTTGGGTTGATGGCTGCAGCAGGCGGTCACTTCCTTCCCTGCACACCCGGCCACCATCGCCTCCTGCTGAGTGGAAAAACCAGCGTAATCAGAAAAACAGGCCCCCTCTGCCCTCAGCCTATGGTTGGGGAGTGAGGCAGGGCAGGGACCCTGGAGGGGGGGCAGCTGAGAGGGGAAGTCTGGATTCCACGTGTGGACCTGTGTGCCCGCTGGCTGTAGCAGAGCCGAGTGGGGGGCCTGAGCATTTCTGTACCCACCAGCAGCCCCTCTGCAGGTCTCTGGTGGGGGCTGGCCCTGCCTTGCAGGGCTCTGACCTCAGTGAATCCTGTGGGAGTGCAGGAGGGGGTGGGGTGTCCGCTAATGGGGACCAGAAACAGCAGGCACATCAGAGGATCTGTGGACTCTCAGCCTGGCCTTCCTTCCTGAGTGGCTGGACCTGGTGGGGTCACAACCTGGCCTGCCTGGGGCTATGGGGTCTGAGAGGATGACAGCCACTGCAGGGAGCGGGGATGGAACTGGGGACAAGGAGAAGAGTGGTTGCCTGCTCATGCTGGGCCAGCAGTGTCCCCTCATAGTACCAGCTACCCCTGGGCCATAGCTGTCACCACTGTGAGCCTCCCTGGTGTCTGTGGACAAGGGCTTGGCCAGCTGCAGGGTAGGCTCAGGGAGCGTGGATGGGGTGGATGAGACACCCCGTGAGATGGTGGCCTCAGCTTCCTCACCTGAGAAATGGGCATATCTGAGGAGGCTGCGGGCCCTCTGTGGCCACCAGTGTGGCTGGATTGGAGACAGACTTGCCAGCCAGCAGGGGCCTTCCTGGGGCCAGGGCAGGAGGGAGGCCCAGGCTAGAGGTGAGGGGGAGGAATAGGGCTGGTGGGGTCGACCTGCTGAGAAAGGATCCTGTGCTCTGTCGGGTTGGCACTGGGTGGTCACAGTCACAGCCAGGGCTGGGCTGGTGCTTGTCTGAGTGGCTGCCTGGGCCAGGTTCCCTGCAGTTAGGGTCCAGCCCATGGGGAAGAGGTGGGGATGAGGATGGGCTGAGCCCACTCCTCCGAGAACACGACAGGCCCTGACCTAGGCCCTGACCCCTGCAGGGCTGTCCTGGAGAAGGCTGGGGCAGAGCCTAGTGGGAGCCGTTGAGGGGTAGAGAGTGGGCTTATAGGAATAAACCTCTGGAAGTTTCTCTCCTAGTGAGGTTTGGAGGGTCACATCCCCAGGAAGTCCTCCCTGACATCCAGGTTGGATGAGGGTCCACCTCTGGGCTCCCCTGGCTCCTGTTTTTAGCCATCTCTGGACACCAGTCTCATGGTTGGAGAGAGCCATGTGTCCCCCCAGTTCAGGGAAGGGGGACCCTGGGTGGTAGGACACAGCCCACCAAGTGGCTCAGACCTTGGGGGGCTGAGCCATGTGCACCTGGAGTGAGGTGGGCACTGGGCTTTGCCTCCATGCCCTGTGGCTCTTCTTGGGGACCTGGAGTGGACTCGCTGCCCCTGCGGAGCTTCTTCACGTGGCTTGACTTCCGTGGACACATTCATAGCAGCATCAAAGTTCCTTTTCCTCCCGATGCCGACTGGGGCTGGGGACTTGGAGGAGGCAGGAACAACGTCCTGAGCAAGTTTGAGGAGAGGGGCCCTGGTGGCTGTGGAGGAGAGGCTGCTTCTTTTTTTTTTTTTTTTTTTGTCTTTTGTCTTTTTTCCGTGTCCGGCAACGGATCGCAACCCTCAGTGTTGCCCCCGTACCGGACCGGGGACCAGCAACGGGATCGCAAGCTTCGGTGTTGCTTCCCGCGCCTCGCTCAGCCAGTGAGCGGGAGCCGGTCTGTATGTGGGATCCGAACCCTCGGGCGGGAGCGCCGCCGCGCTTCCCAAGCGGCGCACTACCCAGTGCGCCACCGGGCCGGCCCCGGAGAGGCTGCTTCTTAACAGGGCTGCTTCCTGCCAGCCCCCTGGTCGCCCCTTGGCCCAGCGACCTTGGCTGATGGGCTGGTTGTCAGGGAGCTGCACACACGCCTTGTTAGCTGCGAGTCAGCGTGGTGACAATGGCCAGGGAGGTGGCCAGTTATCAAGGGTCCTGCGAGCCTTGCTATTAAGCCCTGATAATTATTTTCCTGCTGGGCTTGTGTGGATGAAACTGTTCAGGCTTGTTAATCAGTTATGGGTAGCGGGAGCTCTCCGTGCTGTGTGCAGGTGGCGGGTGGCAGGTGCCTGGCACTGGCACTCCTGCCCTGGGCCCTGACCCTCTGTCCCTTGCTGTCCTCAGGATCCTTGCCTCTCTGCTCTGCTTCTGGACAAGCTGCCAGCATGCCGTCCGGAAGCCGAGAGCCGCTGTGACGTCTGTGCCACGCACCTGCACCAGCTCACACAGGAGGCCCTGCGCCTGCTTCAGGCCCCTGCCAGCCACGAGGATCCCGATGCTCCCCACGGAAGTCCTGGCCTTGCATCCTCCAGCCCTGGTGCCATGACCAGCCTGAGGGATGCTCCAGGGCCGGTGGGCCCTGCAGGGCAGCAGCTGGGCCGAGCAGGGCCAGATGGGAGGAAGGGTCTGGCCTGGCCACCCGGGCCCAGTGTCCAGGTTTCAGTGGCACCTGCTGGTCTTGGTGGGGCGCTGAGCACGGTCACCATCCAGGCCCAGCAGTGCCTGGAGGGCATGTGGAGCGTCTCCAGGGTCAACAGCTTCCTGCCTCCGGCTTGTCTGGTGAGTGCCCTGGGTGTGGGGGTTGTAGGAGGTCTGCTGATCTCCTGGGGGCTCCAGGCAGGAATGGTGGCAAACTGGGTTCCCTCCTGGGAGTCCCTGTCCAGGTCTGGATGTCCCACAGCACAGCTCCCCGAGGCCCCATGTCTGATCCACCTGCATTGGCAGTGGTCGGCAGGGCCTCCCCTATCGCCAGGTTTTGGGCAGCCTTGCTTCTGAGACCACACATGATGCTGTGGGCTGACGGAGGGACCCTAGGTGCTCCTGGTACAAGAACAGACCCTGGCCCCTGGGGTTGGGGGTGGAGGCAGCTTCTCCTTGGGAGGAGGGGTACCCAGAGGCCACTCCCCCTTGAAGCTCTCCTGCCATGCACACCCCATGCTAGGCCAAGCTGCCCCAAGGGGTATGGTCCAGGTGACATAGACCTGCCCGTGGGTAGGTGGCACATCCTGGAGCATTGGGTGAGGCCTGCAGTCAGCCGCAGGGGTCCAAGTACACTTCCACACTGGGCCTGGTCATTCTGACGAGCCACAGCTGACTGAGGAATACACCTCCCCCCGAAGACTCCCCTCCCCACAGGGCCCACCAGAAGCCCTGACGTGTGTCTGCGAATGTCACCCACAGCAGTGGGCATGGCCTCCCTGGAGTCAGCTCTGGGCCAGGAGCGAGATGTTGTCAGGGAGTGCCCTGTGTGGGCATCGGCCCCATGGCCTGAGTTGATGCCAGCTCTGGATGGGGGGCTTGGAACTTCACCCGCTTTTCCATCAGCTGTGGAGCTTTGCTGTTGGGGGGTTGTCTCTCCCAGGCATCCTCTGCGTCTCCCAATTTTCCATCTGAGAAATGGGGGGTCAGGAGAGGGTGGGCTGTTGTGTCAGGGGTTTCCAGGGATGCTGGAGGGAGTTGGTGTGGGTTGGGGGGTGCATGGGATGTACTGTGATGGCGGCTCCGGGGAGGGCCTTCCCTGGAAGGGCCCAGCCAGCCACTCTGCCCAAGCCCTGCCTGACTTAGGGCCGACCTTCTCCTGGGGGCTCTGTGCCCTCAGCTGTGCCATCTGCTTGTTGAGGACCAAGGCTGCAGGCCTGCGAGTGCCCAGCATGGGGCTTGGAAGCACACTTCGTGCCGCTGCAGATCTATGTTTACCAAACGATCAGAGCGGGAGGGGCCCTGCACAGAGAGAATGGTTGTGCGGGAGCCTGGAGGGGCCGGGCATCGAGGGAGGCGGGCTGGGGGTGGAGGCGAGGGGACCAGGCGATTGTGCTGCACAGGTGTGCGTGGCTGCGTGGAGAAGCTCCCCTGCGTCGCCCACTCCCACGGAACCCCGGGGGCAGAGGGATGTCTGTGGAAAGCCATGTTTCTGCTCAGTACATTTCCAGTGATGGTGTCTCTGAAACAGAGCTGCGGGCAGATGGTCTCTCTATCCGTGGTGTGTCCAGGGTGGACAGAGGAGCAGGGAGGACCCCACAGCCACTGGGACAAAGCCTGATGCAAGTCCCGATGCAGGACAGACCCGTACCTCTCCCTGGGCTTGCTGACCCCTCTGAGGTCAGCGAGGTGGTGCTGCTGGGAAGTTGCCACCTCTGGCGTGGCCTTGGACAAGAATCCTGGCCAAGCTGGGAGCTGATCCTTCTGAAGCCACCCTGTCCTTGGGGTAGGGGTGCACAGGGAGCTCACCGGAAGAGCTTCTGGGACTCACTGGCCTCCGGTTGGTGTGATGTTTACCCGCTGCTGCTGGCCTCGCCACCACGCTCTTCCATTTATTAGCTCCCGGGTGAGGCTGAGAAGAGGGAGACCAGCCCCACCATGTGGCCCTCTGGTGCCTCCCAGCTGAGAGCTGGGCTGCCGGGAAGGAGTGTGCCACGGGGAGACCCCCAGGAGGGAGGCAGCAGACACCACCTCCTGCTCAGGTGAGCTGGGCAGCTTCCTGGAGGAGGTGGCATTGGGCTGGAACCGAGGGCAGCATCAGATGATGGGCTCAAGGCCCAAGACGGTGGGGCACTGGCCTCCTGCTGGGCAGCAGCACACCATAACACACTGGCATTTAAGGCACCCTCTCCCCGCTGTATGTGTGTGTTGATTGTGTTCAGGGTGGGCGGGAATGGATTTATAATTAGACAACAGTCCTGGCGATCACTAGGGAGATTATTAGAACCATAAATAGAGCTCGAAGACTCAGATGAGGTAATTTGCCCTGAACCAGGGCATTGATCACTGGAGGTAGCCCTGGAATGTTAACACAACGCCTGCTGGATTCTAGAATCAAATACTTCTGGAGAGATGCACTGTGAATCTCTGCCACAGACCACCAGCCACCCTGGGCTGAGCGAGATTGTTTCAAGGTGAACATTAATCTTGGAGCGGCTGGTGGACTGGGGTGGACCGTGGCCCCCTCTGTTCTCGGACATGGAGAGGAGGGTCTGGGCTCAGCTGGGGAGCACTTTCATCTGGGCTGAGGCTCGGCCAGGTGTGCTGAAGGAGAGGGGTGGCCGGGCCTGGCCGGAAGGGCTGGTCCTTGGAGGGGGAGGCGGGTGACCCAGGGCTCCAAGGGCCCTCCAGCGCCACAGGCAGGCCCCAGCACATTCTGAATGCTGTGGCTGGGAGCCCTCCCGGTGCTCTGCTGGGGACCTGCCGCGGGCGTGGCTGTCCTGGAGAGCCCTGTGTTTGAGTGGAGCAGCCTGGGCCAGCTCATTTCTAGCGTCCACGAGCACAGAGCGTGGCCCTTTCTGGATCAGTCCACATCCTGAGTGTCCGGAGACACTTTGGGCTGTGCGAACCGCCCAGCAGGACTGTCTGGCTGTTCCTTCCAGACTGTCAGGTAGAGGCAGCTCTGCGGCCATGGGGGCCACCCCAGCTCCCCTGCCCCATCCTGCTCCACGGGGCTGGCGGGGCCTGGGACGTGCTGTGACCCGGCCTGTCTTCCCAGGCCTCCGGGTCAGACCTGTGCTCACTTTACACCCAGATGCCACGAGACCAAGGCCGTGGCCTCCTGACCACAGTAGGTTAGAAGCGACACAGAGGACACCTGCAGAGGGGCAGCACACAGTGGGCAGTGAGGGAGGGGACTGGAATTGGACACAGGCTGGGGCAGCCTAGGGCGGGACTGAGTGTGGAGGGTGGGCTGTGCTGCTGCCTTGGTTTGGGGCCGGGAAGCCTGTGCAAACCTTCCCAAGTCCTCTGGACACAGGCGGGGCCCTGGCTGTGGTCCTGGGAGGAAGCCCAGGGGCTGGGGTGGGAGATGCCTGACCTGCTGGGGAGGATGGAGGGCTTCATGGAGGAGGCGCCATCTGCTGGCTTTTGGAGGGGAGGTGAGGTCCTCTCAACAGAGGCCCCGAGGAGCCAGGGTTTCCCTCCGTCAGTGACAGTTGGGTGGCACTGGTTTGCGGTCTCCTGCTGCCCTTCCTCCCCGTGCCAGCCTGCGTGACTCCTCCCACTGCAAGCCCCGCAGGGGACCCTGGTGGGTGCCCACCTATCCCCAGGGGCGTGGCTGGACACTGGAGACTGGAGCTTTGGCTGGGCTCCGGCCTGGCTCTCTAATGATGCCCCATGCAGGCCTCAGTGTATCTGCCTGTGAAGCAGAGATTGGATGGGATGGTCCCCTCTTCTATGTGAGGCTGTAGCGAGGTTGCCTCTGTGATGTGGGGGTGGGACGAGGCCCCTGTAGTGGGAGGACTGTCCTGACTCCGGGCTCTCTAGGTCCTGGAGCCCTCTGGGTGATGGGCCCGAGCTTCAAACCCGCCCGCTCCCTGCAGCTCCGGAGCCCACACACGTGCACCGAGTGTGCCCCGCGCAGGCGGGGGTGGGACCGGCGTCTGCAGGCTCAGCCCTAGGCCCCCCTGGCTCACCTCCCCCGCCTTTCTCCCCCCAGCTTTTGCCACAAAACAGCACCCGTGAGGGTTTATCTGTGGGGACTGGCAGGCGCTGCCCTTCATGTGCCAGGGTCTTGCAGACAGAGCTCGGGCCTGGAGAGCTCCTAAGAAAGGGGTTGGTCCGGCACTTCCTAAACCGTGTTCCACGGGACCCCAGTTCCCGGAGGTGGGCGGGCGCTCTTGGGGACGCTGGCCCCATGCCCAGGAGACCCCGCTGAGGCCTGCGCCTGCACAGACCCGGCCCCACCGGCGGGCGGCTGCCGCTTCGCTCTGTCCTGCTTCTCCTCTCGTGGCTGCCGGGCATCTCGTCAGCTTTCTGTTGGGCCCCCATCGTCCCCCCGTGTCATGGTCTTCCCTCACGCCCTGCCCGCCCGCCCTCCGGCTCTTGCTTTGCCAGGCGGCTTCTTTTGGCATGCCCGGGCTCTGCTTCTGGCAGGAACTGGCAGTAGCCGTCCCGGTGGACGGAGCCTTGTCACGGCAGCTTGTGGGTCCCCTGAGACAGGACAGTGCGGAGGCCCGGCCGGCATGGGCGCGCATGTTGTGGGCTGTAGGCCGAGGTGCCACCGAGGCCATGGGATGGCTGGGCCCATGGGGTGGCTGTCCCCATGGGGTGGCTGGGCCCGTGGTGTGCCTGTCCCCATGGGATGGCTGGGCCCGTGGGGTGGCTGGGCCTGTGGGAGCAGAGGAGGGGCTGTGTGGGGCCTGGTGCAGCCATTCTGTCCACGCCGGACCCTTTTCAGCCTCGGGCCCCTGCGTCCTGTGGGAGGCAGTGCCATGACAGAGGCTGGTCAGAGCTGACGGTGGGTGGGCAGCGGGTGGTGTGCCCCTGCTCTCCCCGGCCCCCCCGGCGGGCGGCTGCCGCTTCGCTCTGTCCTGCTTCTCCTCTCGTGGCTGCCGGGCATCTCGTCAGCTTTCTGTTGGGCCCCCATCGTCCCCCCGTGTCATGGTCTTCCCTCACGCCCTGCCCGCCCGCCCTCCGGCTCTTGCTTTGCCAGGCGGCTTCTTTTGGCATGCCCGGGCTCTGCTTCTGGCAGGAACTGGCAGTAGCCGTCCCGGTGGACGGAGCCTTGTCACGGCAGCTTGTGGGTCCCCTGAGACAGGACAGTGCGGAGGCCCGGCCGGCATGGGCGCGCATGTTGTGGGCTGTAGGCCGAGGTGCCACCGAGGCCATGGGATGGCTGGGCCCATGGGGTGGCTGTCCCCATGGGGTGGCTGGGCCCGTGGTGTGCCTGTCCCCATGGGATGGCTGGGCCCGTGGGGTGGCTGGGCCTGTGGGAGCAGAGGAGGGGCTGTGTGGGGCCTGGTGCAGCCATTCTGTCCACGCCGGACCCTTTTCAGCCTCGGGCCCCTGCGTCCTGTGGGAGGCAGTGCCATGACAGAGGCTGGTCAGAGCTGACGGTGGGTGGGCAGCGGGTGGTGTGCCCCTGCTCTGGACCCCCCAGAAACTCTGGCCCTGCTGCTCGGGGTGCCCAGTGGGGGCTCTGCGGAACCCAGCTCAGGCTCTGGTGGTCCACATGGTACCTTTAAAATTAATTCTTTCCTATGCCGCTCTGCTCAGCACAGGAGTTTAGATCTTTCATGGGGAACAGAAACGTTAAGTGGTAAAAAAGGAATTCACATTTGCGGTGAGGGCGTGACTTCGAGAAGGAGGGCTGGGGTGTGGTGTGCTGGCACGATGCCTACTGAGACGTTCCGGGTTCGCCCTTCTGTTCCCAGTTCCAGGCCTGTCCTTTTCTGCTACTGACCTGCCTCTCAGGCCTGGGGGAGCACTGCACCCCGGGTGCCGGGAGGGTGCTTGGCTCCCATCCAGCCTAAGGCTTGGGGCTCTCTGTGAACTTCCTTTTGCAGACTTGGTTCTGACCCATGTCTCAGAGGGGTTGGGATGCGGGTGCTGGCCATGGGTAGGGCAGGGCCCATGGTGGCTTGTTCTGTTGAAGTGCCATGCCTGGCCTCTGGCCTGTGTCACACGGGAGACCCTGAGGACAGGGGGCCTTCAGAACATGGCTGCCATCCTGGGATCCTCACCCCAGGATCACTGGCCCAGCCCATGTCCTCTCAGCATGGAGACCCCAGTCCTCTGCTGGCCTGGAAAACAGAAGGTGCCACGGCAGTGACCAGCCATGGTGCCTAGGGGGCCTTGAAGGGCTGAGGCAGTGGTCCTTGGGGAAGGTGGCTGGACCGAGGCAGGCTGCCTTCCCCACCCTGCCAGGGGCTGTGTGCCCCCAGCCCACGCAGGGCCAGGCCCAGCCGGGGGTCTGGGCCCCGACATGTGCACATAAACATGATATAGAGGCCAGACCTCGAGTTTGCGGGAGCCTGTCCTGGGGAGCATTTAACTACATTTCTGCTTCATTATGAGACTGTCTCCCTTTCTGGAATTTATTTTAGCTAATTAGCTGGAAATGCCAGCATAGTATTTCAGATGATGGGAACATCATACATTATCATACGTGGGGCAATTAGCACTCGTGCCAAATATTTACTGTGGTTTCTTTTCTAATCACATCTCTCGGTGCTCCCAGATGGCTCGGGGGTTAGTGGGGTGTGGGGGTTCTGTCCATCTGTCCTGACCATGGTGGTCACTGCATTTCTGGACGGGGGTGGGGAAGGAGCTAGAAGGTCAGGCCCTTGGGTGGCTGTCCTCATCCCCCTCTGCCTTGATGGAGCCCTGCCGAGAAAGGCCACCCCAGGCCCAGGCCTGGGGACGTGGGTCTTCATGCCTTGTCATGGGCCCCCCCTCTGGGCTTCAGTCTCCCAGCCTGGTTTCTGGGGCTGCCCCAGCCACACCAGCAGGCTCCTATGAGTGCAGGCATCCCAGGGAGCGTGCTGGGGCTGTGGCATGCTCAGGCCCGTCTGTCCAGCTCCCTGGTGCCTGGGGGTAGTGGGCGTCTCTCTGCCCACCTGTGGGTTCCTCACATGGACTCTGTCTTTCCCTCCAGGCCGAGGCAGCAGTGGCTGCTGTGGCGGTGGCAGACACGGTCCGAGATGGCCCTCCCATGGTGGGCCCTGGTGTTGTGTCAAAGGCGTGGGGCCGAGGTGGGGCCTGCACATCTGCCCTGGTCACCCCCTCCCCAGGCTCCTCAGCTGGGGTCCCCACAGGCTCCTCTGCTGCAGCCTCCTTCTTCATAAGGTACGTCCTCCTGGGCCTCATCGGGCCGCAGCTCAGACAAGGACAGTGTGTGGATGGGGGACGAGAGGAGCTTGGCTCCTAGCCTTGGGTGGGGGGCACCGAAGGGACCTTGGCTCCTGGCCCCTGGTGGCCAGAGGGGCATTTCTGGGAGGACCAATGCTCTCGCAGGGCTGAGCAGCTCTCGGCTGAGGGCTGTCCTCCCAGGGCCCCCATGCAAGGATGAGAAGTGTCAAGTGGGGGCTTCTCACCAGGAGGTGGGGAGACATTGCCAAGGAGAGGCTGTGTGACGAGGTGCAGGGACCTGCCTGGGTTGGGGCTTGGTCTCTACCCCTTCCAAGCTGTGCAATCTTGGGCAAGTCACATAACCCCTCTATGCCTCAGTTTCCCCATCTGTCAGATGGGGCTCTTTTTCATGGAGTCACTGTAAGGGGCAGCAAGATAATGTCTCTGAAGCACCGAGAATGGGGCTGGCTTAGAGTGAGGCGGCCCAGCCGTGGACATCCTGTGGCTGCAGAGACAAAGCTTGGCCTTTGGGCCCCTGCAGACAGGGAGCACAGGGGCAGGGATGGGTCCCGGGGGCAGCAGGGGTTGGAGGGAGCGTTCCTGGGCAATGGAGGAGGTAGTGTGAATCAGGGAGGGTGTCCTGGAGGGTCTCCTGCACCCAGACCCCACCTGTCACCTGCCCTCTCCACAGGAGGCTGTGCACATTCCACAGCACTAGCTGGGCTCGTGGTTGGTAGATCCAGAGCCACCAGCAGTATCCCATGTCAGCATGACCATGCCTGATGTCACGTGGGTCCTTGTCCCAGGCCTGGACCTCTGGGTGCTGGGGATTCCTGGGGCCCATGGTTTACTTTCTCTGTGTTCTGAGTGCATGGCCCAAGGTCCTGTAGGCACCACAGACCCTTGGGATGACACCGGTGTGGATGTGGCAGATTAGGCAGAGGCAGCGTCATGAGCAAAGGTGGGGAGGTGGGAGTAGGTGTGTAGGAGCAGAGGTTCTTTTCCCGCACCCCCAGCTGGGGAGAGCAGTCCTCGACCTCAGCCCCTCCCAGCAGACCCGAGGCTGAGCATCGTCCTCCCCTCCTGGTGGTGTGAGGGATGCGGATTACAGGATATAATCTCGGTAATGAGTGGTAATGGCAGGTCCAGCCTCGGGTCACTGTCCCATTAGCAGCCTGGTGCGGGTGCTGATAAGCTTGTCCATGAATCACGCCCGGGCGGCCAGCAAGGAGGGCTCCTTATCAGCGCTGGTCCGGAGGGACCGCGTGGCCTGATTGGGGAGTGACAGGGCATATGATTAGGGCCTTGTCTTGTGCTGGGCTGATGAGCACACCGCTGCTCTGGAGCACAGTGGGGGCCGCTGCACGTGACTGATGTGGCCTCAGCCGCCACCCCAATTAGGCGCTGAGAGCCCGGCTGGGACCCTCTGGGTGGGGGTGAGTGGGGTCCTGCCCCGCCTGCTCTGGAGCCCCTTGTGGGCCAGCCAGCAGTCAGGGTGGCACCTGGGGAAGGGGATGAGAGGGACAGACCTGTGCAGTTGCCGGCTTCTTAACCCTTCTTCCTCCTGATTTAAAGTTCCTCTGCCACAAGGTTTGGTGGCAGCCACGTGGTCACACTATCAGGTTCTTGGTGGGAGGATTTGAAGTGCTGAGACTTTCGGTGAAGAGAGAACAGCCCCAATGGTCCCGAGTTCTGGGGCCTCCCCTCCGCCCTGACGGTGGGCCCCCTGGAGCCTGAGGAGGGTTCCTGTCACTGGGAAGTGCAGGGGTTGTTGGCCTCCATGCTGGCTCGTTAGTGGCCCCAGCCGGCAGGGCGGTGCAGGCTGCCTTTTGTCTCGAAGCTGAAGCTGGAGCCGAGGCTGGTGCTGCTCCTGCCAGGGCTGCCTGCTGACCTTGGGAAGTTACCATAGAAACGAGTGCATTGGGCTGGGGATGGCGGGAGGCAGGTTTCCCAAGGGGCGGGGTGGCGCTGCCGGCTGCCATTACTTCCAGCCTGTTAGACGCCCTGAATCGCAGTGGCTGCCCGAGGGCTCCTGGCAGGTGGCGGGTCATGGGTCAGGTTCAGGGTGGGTGTCCTAGCAGACGATAGTGCTGGCAGGCAGGCCCAGCTCCCCGGTGCCTGATTTGGGCTGCAGTTGGTGGTGGGGGTCTGCTCTGCAGGGCTGCAGCACCCTTGACCATTAGGGGTGAGGTCAAAGACTGAGTCCACTCCCTAGTTTTGTGGGCAGGGGGCTGTGGCTCAGAGTGGGGAAGGGGCTTGCCCAGAGTCCACCAAGAGGGGTCACCTCCTGGACCCCTAAATCTAGATCTTTTGGGAAGACCCACTGGGGGAGGTGTCTCCCTGGCAGGCTCAGGGTAAGGGGTGTGATGGGGTCTCCTTTGAATGCGGGTATACCATACTGCACTCACAGGTCCCCGACGCCTCCCCCCAACCCCCATTGCAGCCTCAGTGGAGCCCCCTGGTGTCTGCCTGGATGCCCGGTCTCCTGGAATCATCAGACTGGCACCCAGCAGAGGTGCAGAACCAGGGTGGGCACTGTCCAGAGGCTCCAGAGAGGGACTCTGGGCAGATAGGACTCTCTGAAAAGGTGTCCCTCACCTGCCTTGTGGCCTACAGGTGGTGTGGAAGGTGCTGGCTGCTGATACCTTGGTCCCTGGCCTTGGGTGCTGGCTGGCTCCTGCTGGGGTCTAGGGTCCCCTTAGCAGCTCTGCAGGATCCAGCTCCTGATGCCTGGTTCCCTGATGGGGCAGATTCTTCAGGTGGCAGCCCCTCTCCCCTGGGGTGGTCCACCAGTCTCACCAAGGCCCAGTTGGGAAGCTCTGGTTGGCTGTTACTGACCCCCTGACATGTTGGAATAGACCCGTGTGTCTCCTCGGGGTAATTACGAGCCTCGCCATCAAGGCCGACTGCCTGTGAGAATATCTTCTTGTTTAGAAGTGATTTCTCTCTGTAAGGAGGCAAGATATTTCCCTTTCTGTTTACATGAATTGATGGCCAGGGCGGCGGAGCGCGGGAGAGGCTCTGGGATTGCAGTCGGATGTCATGGCTCAGAAGGTTATTCCAAGGGCCTGCTCAGCCACCCAGCCACCTACAGGCGTGTCCTGAGCTTCCCCTGTGAGCCAGGCATGGGCTTGGTGAATGTCTGCCCTCGGAGCCCCACCTGGTGGGGACAAAGCCTTGTAAACTGGTGTCCAGAGGCAGGGGGTGGTTCCTGTAGTAGCAGGAAGCACAGGGGCTGGGGGGCCCAGCTCGAGGCATCAGGGCAGGCTTCCTGGAGGAGAGGTCCCCTGAGGATGGGGAGGGCTATGGATGCTGGTGAAGTTCCTGCTTTTCTGAGGCTTCTCTTCAGAGCCAAACTGCTCAGACCTGCCCACACACCCCTTGTAGGTCCCCCCACGGGTCTGCCATTCCCTGACCACACAGTGGCCTTCTGGGCCTGAGCCTGGCACTGGGTCTTCTCTTAGCCTTGGTGAGGCCCAGCATTACCCCCTGTCCCTCATCTCTCACCCCCACTACTCAGAAATGCAAGGAGTCTTGAGGCAGGCCTGGCCCCCAGAACCCCCAAGGCCCATGCCAGCCGAGGCCCAGCAGCCGATTTGGTGTTGACGTGGCTGACGGAAGCTTGTCTTAGTTTCACGAGGGCCTGGATTTCATCAAAGGAGAAAGTGCCCATCCTGGTGCCTCGTTAACGCGGTGACGTGCCTTTGAGTCATGCCTGGTGAGGCCAGCCTGTAAAAGCAGGCACCTGGAGGGCTGGGGCGGGCTGGGGCCGGGCCTGTCGGCTCCCAGCCCCTGAGGGGCCTGATGGGCCAGGGAAGGAGAGGGCGCCTGAGTTAGGTCAGATTGTGGGGTGGAGACACCTCACCAGTCACCATCTGGACTCCCAGGGCTGGTGGCACCTCTTAGGACGCTTGGCCCCGCCTTTGTTCAGGTGGCTCTGGTGTGGCTGAGGTCTGTGCTGAAGACCCCCAGCTCCCTCCACTGGAGAGGCAGAGCTGTCTGTGGCCTCACGTGTGGCTGGCGGGGCAAAGCCCTGGCTTGGTCCTGGCCCTGCAGACCTGAGGCTCCAGCCTCGATCTCACTCCCGCCTCCCCAGCACCTCACCCATCGGTCCTGGGCCCTTCGTGAGGCTTGGGGTGTGGGTGCAGGATGCCCTGCCTCCCACAGCCTCACGTCGGAGCTGGCTGGTACCCTGACCCCACCCAACCTAGGGAGGGGCCTGGGGAAGGCAGGGCAGGAGGAGCAGTGGGTGTTGAGCCGGCGCGGGGAGCGGCGCGCCACGCTGTCTGCTGACCGGTCTGGTTGACATGAGGGCTGAGCTGACACCCTCCAGCAAGGGCTGGTGCCGGCCAGCCCTGTGTGCTGCCCTCTCCTGAAATCTTGGGAACAGGTGTCACTGCAGGTGAGGAGATGAGTCCAGGGTGACTCCTTGTCATTCACAAGGGTCCCAGGGCCTCCCTCCCCCCACAGTGCAGCCCTCCCTGATGGGTCCCAGCCCTGGGGGCAGTGCCAGGCAGGTGGGCTGGGACTGCCCTGTCTGGATCTTGCCTGCCAGATGCTAACATCCACTGAGACAGGCTGTGGCTTCCCCCCACGGGGCAGCTGGTGGAAGCTGCCGTGCAGCCCACGGTGGTGGTCATGGGGGGGCCTAGGATGAGAGGCCCAGGCTGGGGCAGTGATGCTCAGAAAATGCATGCCTGCTCCTGCCTCTGGCTCCGGACAGAGGGATGCAGCCCTGACCATCTCTGGCCCCAAGACCCCTGCCCGAGTCTCCTGGACCCCACGGAGTGTCACAGTGCAGTTTGGGTGCCTCTGCCCCTGCGCTTCCAGAGTTCCCTGCTTATCTCGATTTCTCGCTGTGCAGAGGGACACCGGCACCCGGGTGACAATGCTGGCTTCCATTCTGCCCCTGACTTGCTGTGGGATCTTTGGGCTAACGGGGGATGAGGAACTCCTCCTTGCAGGGCAGTTGTGAGGTTTACATTGCTCAGGCAAGCTGTCGGGTAAATGCTTGCAACTCCCACCTTGTGAGGTCTGAGGGTCTTAGGAGCAGAAGGCCCCAGACCCCTGGGATGCAGATGTCACTGCTGCCACCAGCTGTGGCCAAAAAACTCAAGTTCCTAAGGCCTAGGGGTCCCTGTGCCTTGAGTTGTCAGAGCTCTGCCTGGGCAGCCCTGGAATCAGCTCATGGGACCCTTGCACCCCCCGCCCACCCTGTCTGGGTGCACACAGGCACTGCCTGCCAGGACTCTATTAATGGCTCTGCCATGTGTCATAGATTACTTTTATTTTCCACGATGACACCTCACTAGTAGGAAAGCCATCCCTGGGGTCTCTTAAAAGACAACTCCTATTAAAGACGAGAAGAGTTAAGCAAAGTGCCAGTGGTAGATCTTGCTGCAGCGGGAGGCTGGCGCAGGCTGGGCTGCTGCCCTCGGGTGCAGGCCCTCCACACTGGGATCCTTTTGAGGAGGACAGGATAGACTGGACGGGCCCTGGGGCCTTTGGGAGAAGGGGGGTGGGTGCTTGAGGCTGCAGAAGGGCTATGATGCTGGGGTCAGGTTGGGATGGGAGTGGCCTGGGCGCCTGGTGGGCAGCGTTCACCAAGTCTTTGGCCACCATTTTGTCCTGGCACCCACCCTTCACTGTGGGGTCTCTGGTGTCACCATGCTGGAGGGCGGTGGGGGCCCTATGGGGAGGATGCTGAAGCCACAGGGAAGCTCACCCTGGGGAGCGGATAGGAACAGCACCGTGGGGCCGTGCCCCTGTAGCAGGGTCAGTGTGACCAGAGGCCCGGGGGTGCGGTGGCCTGTGTCACATGTGTGTATGTGTGTGCTTGTATTGTGTGTCTCTGTGTGTGTGCCTGTATTGTGTGTGTGTGTGAGAGTGTGTTGGGGTCCCCCAGGAGTCCACACCAGTGGATACCAAACATGCATCAGAATCCCCTTGAGGATGTGTTAAAACCCAGGTGTCAGTCCTACCTCCAGAGGGTGTGGGGTCTGCAGGAGACTGCATTTCTGCAAGTTCTCTGCGGATGCTGCAGGTGCAGGTCCTCCCAACCTGCTCTGGGGCATGGATGTGAGGTTGCAGGAGGAAGGTCTGTTTATCAGGGGTGAGGGAGCCTCAGGCAGTGGAGCGATGGTGGCCAGGCAGGTAAGGCAGGGGTGGCATCTCAGAACGGCTCCAGGGGCCTTGGTGCACTGGGAGGGGCGAGTACTGACTCCAGCCTGGGGACCGGGGGCCACGGTAATCATGATAGCAGCATTAATTGAGCTCCTGCTGTATGCAGGCACTGTGCTGGGTATCTACAATGCATCAGCTCATCAGGGCCACACACAAGGAACACCAGTGGACACATCATCCCATTTCAGAAATGAGAAACTGAGGCCCAAAGAGACTGCGTCAACATGTGAAGGGCTGACCACAGCCTGGGCAGTTGGGCCGAACAGCTCTCTCTGTCCTGCCCCAATTGTGGCTGCTGGGTTGGGGGTGAAGGGTGATGGTGACAGTCGGTGTGTTCAGTGTGGAGCACAGAGAGGGGTGTGCAGTCTCTGGACCATCTGTCACCTGGCCTGTCCCGTGTGCTGGGCAGAGCCACCAGGGAGGGGATGTGGTCGTGGCCCCAGCCTGAGCCACATTTCTGGATGCATCTCCTGGCAGTGGCCTCTGTGGGGTCTTAGGACAGCTGGGGTGTGGCAGGTGCAGTGACAGGGACAGCTTCTGGTACCCACTAAGTGCCTGCTGCCTCACCTCTCCAGGGCCGCCCAGAAGCTCAGCCTGGCCTCCAAGCGCAAGAAGCCCTGCCCACCGCCGGCCCCTGCCAACCGGGGAACCTCCACCTACCCCACTGACTTCAGCGGGGTCCTGCAGCTGTGGCCACCCCCAGCGCCCCCCTGCCTGCTCAGGGCCGCCTCCAAGGCCAAGGACAACCCCGGCAGCATTGGAAAGGTAGACCCAGTCTCGAGATCAGGGTGGCCCTGGGGTGGGGGAGGCCAGCGGTGTCTGAGAAGGTATGTGGAGGGGGTGCGGGAGATGGAAGGGCTCCCACTTCCTTCTCCCAGGTTGGTCGTGATGGTCAGCAGGGCACAGATGGGGAGACTGAAGCCCACCAGAGCATTTCCTGGCAGGGAACCTGGGAGACTGCTGGGTTGGGGCTGCGGGGAATGGGTGGGAGTCCTGGGGGCCGTGTGTCTCCATGTGGGACGGGACAGACAGCTCATGGACTTTCCTGAGACTATGGTGGGGTCTGATCCAGGTAACCACCTTTCCTGGTCTCCACTGGGACGCTGCCCTGAGGTGGGGAGGGGCAGGGGTGGGACCGCTCAGCTCTCCAGAGTCACTGTGTCTAGGTAGATCTCATCATAGCCCACCATGGGAAAAGCAGGATATGGGGTGGGCTGATTCACCTGCCTTGTTTCAGGTGGGGAAACTGAGGCCTGCTGGGTGACTGGACAGGCCATCTTTGGCCCCTGGCTCCCCTGGAACTCTGTGGGTTGCAGCTGCACCCTCTGTGAGGCTCTGAGAAATAGCTGCACCGCCAGCTCGGGTGGGGACAGGTGGCCCTCTGTGCTGGCTGAAGGGATGGAACCACTGCCACACGGCTGTGGGGGTGATGATTGGACCACACCCTGAGTATGCACTCTGGGTGCTGTTCTCTGACCCTCTGCCTGCTCTGTGGCTGGCCTCTCCTGGGTTCCTGAGTGCAGTGGGGCTGAGGTGACTTCCCCCCGCCCAGCGCACCCTGGCCGGGTGGTCAGCCAGGCACTGCCCAGTGCCTCCAGCCCTGCAGAGGAAGGGGCCCCACAGGCACAGGCCATTGGCTCCTGCTCCCCTGGGCCCCACCCCACAGCACTTATTTCAGTGGCTTGAAGCCCCCCAACCCCCACCAGCTCCTTCCCCTGGAGCAGCCGTGCCAGTGGCTTCCTCATGGCCTGACCTGGTGGTAGCTGCTGGTCCAGGGCAGCAGTGCGTCCCTAGGGAGGGTCGATTCCAGGAGTGGCTGTTGAAGGGGACAGGGGGCCCTGGTTGGCTTGTAGGGTGGGGTGGGGGCAGATGGGGGTGGACTCTACAGCTCTTACCAGCCTTGTGGTCATAGCTGTCTGGGCGGTTGGCTGGCACATCCAGAGGGTATGACCAGGCCCTGGGGAGTGTGGGGTTTCTTTTGTGAACTTCCTGACTCCGGGTCCCTGTCCCAGCCTGCCCCACTAGTGTGTAGATCTGAACAAGTCGCCTTCCGCTCTCGGTCCCTGGTCACGACTCCTGCGGTGGGTGGGGGTGTTGGTTGGCTGTCTTTGGGTCCTCCTGACATGGACATTCTGTGCATCAGCGACTCCAAGTCAGAGTAGGTCTGTGTCCTGGAGCGGCCGATTCCTGTCCTGTCTCCCCAGCCCTGCTGCTGCCTGGCAAGGTTGAGAGACTAGCCCCAGCACCTGCCTGTCTTGGGATGTCTGCTGGGGTGACAGTGGCCCTGCCTATCCCCATGCCCGGAAACGCTGGGGGACAAAGGGAAGACAAAGTCTGCTGCCCCCAGTACCTGCACTGTCTCCTCTCCACGCTCAGTCCCACGCCCGACCCCACTCCCGCCCCCGACAGGGCATCAGCAGACAGGGTGGGGCGGGGGCCGAGGAGAGGGCGAGCGGCTCCTTTGTGAGGTCGGAACTGCCCTGGTTCTTCCTGGGGCCGTGTTACTTCGGGGCCAGCAGGCTCCACCATTTTGGGTCGGGGGGAGGCTCCTCTCTTCTCTCTGTGGCAGACACACCCTCGCCCCGTGCCAGGACCGCCCAGCACTTCCCTAGAGACAAGGAGCCCTTGGCCACTGCCTGCTACCCCCACCCCCTCCCGGGCGCCCTGTACGTTATTAGCACTAATGTCACATAGTCAGAAATGCCGCCTGAAAGACGTTTAATATCGTCGCAGAAAAGAAGTTAGATTACATGCAATTTCTGACATTAATGTGCTACTTAAGATAATTCATCATATTGTGGTATTAAAAAAGACATCCCTTTCTCGCTGGGTGCCGAGTGGTGCGCCCCTCCCCCTCGTCCGCCTGGGCCACCTCTTGGGAGCTGGAAGCCCTTTTTTATGTAAAATGTGTTTTTCCCATACCCGGCAGCTATTCAGCGGGGCTTTGTAGTATCTGAACGTTCGGGGGAGAGTCTTGGTGTGCTTGTCTTCGGCAGAGACCCTGTCATTTCCCTGCAGTAATGACAGGGTTCTCTCAGCAGACAATGGGACGGGGCAGTACGGGGCAGGCTGGACGGCTGATGCCCCCACTCTGGCCTGCTCTGTCTGCTCCCCGGGGAGGTGGTGACCGCCCTCCCTGCCTGGCTGTGCGTCTGGACACAGGGATTAATGTCGCTGCTTGAGAGGGCGGCCATCACACAGCGAGAGCCGAATTGTCGGCTTCCCCAGGCCGCTCCTTCCCGCTAGGAATTCTCTCAAATCTGCAGAACTCATTTGGCTCCTGAAGTGGCGAGGAGTTCACGCTGGAAAAGAATTGCCAAAAATTACCGGAAAGTGCACATTTTCGTCTGCTTTGCAGCGGCGCTTGGAAATGAAATAGTTTTGTTCATGTCGTCAGGGACTAAAAGAATCGATTCTCGCCTAATGCAGCCCAGGTTCTGAGAGGGGCGATAGGGAAGTGTTTCTGCACGCGCTCCCCCAGGACGGGCGCTCCGGGCCACACGGCGGCTTGGGGACCCGTCTGCCACGTGCCAGAGGCGAGGAGATGGCGCCTGGGTGAACTGCCCAGGGTGAACCAATTTTGCGGGCGTTGTGTATCTGTCACTTACCATTAAATCCATGAAAAATATTGGCTCTGAAATGAGTCTCGGGTAATTTGATTTTCACTGTGGTGGAGAAATCAGAGATTTCATCAGAGAGTGGACGGTGTGTCCAACAGAAAACAGAGCCCCTAATTCAGGGGGCTCATGTGTCAATAGCGCCTGTGAGTCAGATCCCGCCCAAGCCCCCTGGGGTGCTGCAGAGATGCTCCTGTCTGGGGTGTCCGTTCTCTGCCCAGGTTTGGGGGTGTCTTCAGTGTCGCTTGCTCTGGGCTGAGCTGGCTGTTTCCTCGGAGGGTGCGGGGGCTGCTGGTTCGGGTTCTCCCAGAGGCCGGCGCATGCATGGGGGCATGTTTTTGCGGCCTGTTTTGTGCCCAGGCCCACCCTTGTCCCGCCCACTCCTCTGTCCCCTGCTCCCCCCATCTCAGCCCCACCCTCAGTCTCCCCAGCCCCCACCGAGGGCTGGAGAGGCCAGAGGATTTCAGCATTCACATCTTTTCTCCAGTGGGCTCTCATTTTATTTCCCTTCCCAGGTTGTCATTCTAATGGGATTTCCTCTGGCTTTCTGTTGACCCGAGTTCTGCTCATTCATGGGATTTTGAGTTTGGCTTCCGGAGCTGGCTCTGTGTCCTCCCGTGGGGCATCACCGGACCTCAGGCCCTCCACCTGGGTGCACTGGTGCACCCTCAGTCCCACAGACCTCCCGCCACCTCCCTGGGGAGGACACTGCAGGGCTCTGAAGGACTTTGGCCTGGGGCTGCTGGGTGCTGGGGGGAGGGGCTCCCAGGAGCTGTGCACCTCCCTCCTGTCTTAGCCTGGAGTGAACTGCTTTGGGGGACCTGAGCGTCCCTCCGCTCACGGAGGCCTCTAGAGCCTGCTGCCCCCAGTTCCCTGTGTCCGGCTCTGTGCCCCACCTCCCCATTCTGGGCTGATGGCTGCGCACCCTGCCCGCCTCGCCTCTCCCTGGGCTTCACTTTCTCCCTGCCCCGCTGACTTCATGCGAGATCCGCTCGGGCCCGGAGCGGGGGCGCGGGCAGCACATTCCTGCGGTGTGGGATGCCCGTGCCGAGGCCCGGGCCGCTGTCTGGACTCGCGCGGGGCCCCTCCTGCCCTGTCATTAGCGGCCAGCTGGGCGGTGGGCGGCTGCTCAGACGCCTGCACCCGCCCTCCTCCCCAGGTGAAGGTCATGCTGCGGATCTGGCCGGCTCAGGGGGCCCAACGCTCGGCCGAGTCCACGTCCTTCCTGAAGGTGGACCCTCGGAAGAAGCAGGTGACCCTGTACGATCCGGCTGCCGGGCCTCCAGGCAGCACAGGCCTCCGGCGCGCTGCCACCGCTACAGTCCCTAAGATGTTCGCCTTCGACGCCGTCTTCCCCCAGGACTCTGAGCAGGTACTGCCTTAGGTGGACCTCCTGGGGACCTGGGGGGCTGCACCGCTGGCTCAGGATGATGGGGTCATTCTCTGTGTGGAGTGAGGGGAGAGGAGCAGAGAATGGGGCCCGGCTGGCCCAGCGCCTGCTGAGTCCACCTCATCGGCCTTTCTGGTCAGTGCCCTTGTGGGGTCTCCACTCAGTTCCTGTCCCGGTTCTACTGACCGAGTCCCCAGGGAAATACTCACTGGTTTTTTGGAGCTCATCCTCCTTGGCAGCTTTCTGTGTTTTACGCTGGATGTCGGGACACCCGCTGATCCCTCATATGCACTATATGCCGTGTGACCACATGTGTGTCTCTGAGCGCATCGTGGTCTGTCCTGGGCGGGGCCCACATTGGCAGTGGGACTTCTGTGTTTTATGGAATATGCATGTATGTGCATGTGTCTGGCCAGTGCATCCTGTGTGTGCTGCATGCATTCTGTGTCCTGTTCTTGCGTGTTCGTGCTTTCTGCATGCACGTGGGAGAGCTGTCTTTGATGTCCTGTGTGTGCCAGTGCAGACACCCTGTGGGCTGACTGCCAGGCCTTGGCCCTGGCACCTGCCTGATTCTCTGTGCCCCTCCCCCAGGCTGAAGTCTGCTCAGGGGCCGTGGCTGATGTGCTCCAGTCTGTGGTCAGTGGGGCTGATGGCTGCATTTTCTCCTTCGGCCACATGAGCCTTGGTAAGCCCCCCCCAGATGAATTCTGTTCACCGCCCACCAGCCCACCACTATTATCGTTGCTGCAGTCGCTGGGCCTGGCTCTGGGTCAGGGAGGAAGATGCTTCTCTGTATGGGCAAAGGTTGGGCAGTGGGGTGAGGGGCTCATGGGAAGGAAGCCAAAGCCCTGCAGAGCTAGAAGGCAGAGGCCCTGGAATGCATCAGAGGAGGTCCCTGAGGTCTCAGTGGCCCCAAGTTGGCCCTGACGACTCTGGGCAGGGCTGGAGAGTCGGTTCCTGGGTCTGGCTCAGCTCTGAGGGCTTGTCTTGTGGGGTGTGGGGTGGGCCCTGACCGACTGCGTGGCCCTCAGGCAAATCATACACCATGATTGGGAAGGACAGCTCGCCCCAGAGCCTGGGCGTTGTGCCCTGCGCCATCTCCTGGCTCTTCAGGCTTATCGATGAGCGCAAGGAGAGGATGGGCACCCGCTTCTCCGTCCGTGTCTCGGCCGTGGAGGTGTGTGGCCGGGACCAGAACCTGCGAGACCTGCTGGCTGAGGTGGCTTCTGGCAGCCTCCAGGATGCGCAGTCCCCGGGCGTGTACCTGCGGGAGGACCCCGCGTGTGGGACGCAGGTGTGTCAACACCACCATCTCCCCACCCCCAGGGGGCAGAGGGCAGAGGGTGTGGGGGCCGCACTGGCCCTGAGTCCCTAACGTCACCCGTGCCTGCCCCGCAGCTCCAGAACCAGAGCGAGCTGCGCGCGCCCACAGCGGAGAAAGCAGCCTTCTACCTGGACGCGGCCCTGGCTGCCCGCAGCACCGGCCGTGTGGGCTGCAGTGAGGACGCGAGGCGCAGCTCGCACATGCTCTTCACGCTGCACGTCTACCAGTACCGCATGGAGAAGTGTGGCAAGGGAGGAAGTAGGTGCTGCGCCACCGGCCCACGGGGTGGGGGCGGTGCCCTGGCTGTACCCTCCCCTGCCCTCATGCCCGGCCCTGCCATTTCAGTGTCCGGAGGCCGCAGCCGCCTGCACCTCATTGACCTGGGCAGCTGCGAGGCGGCACCTGGCAGAGGCGGGGAGGCCGCAGGGGGACCCCTGTGTCTGTCCCTATCGGCCCTGGGCAGTGTGATCTTGGCCCTGGTCAATGGAGCCAAGCACGTGCCTTACAGGTGAGTGTGGGCACCTGGTGGGGACTGGCCGGGGTGGCCACTAGGGAGCCGGCCAAGTTCATGTCTGGTGTGTCCAGTGCTTCTGTGGGTCCCTGAACCCCTCAGTCCTTAGCTCCTCCAACGTCTGATGGGTCTTACTGCCCAGGGGCTGCCTTGGCCCCTGTGTCAGGCTGGTGGTGGACTCTGGAGCCCAGGGTGCACGGACAGAGGCAGGGGCCAGACCAGACCCTGGGGCTCCAGGAACAGTCCCTGGTCTGGCAAGAAGCCCATCTCCCTGCCTCTAGCCTGTTGCCCACCCCTGGCCCAGCCTCCCAGCCTGGTGGTCCCTCCTTAGACCCTTGGCCTCTGAGCCCCTTCCTTGGCCTGCAGGGACCACAGGCTCACCATGCTGCTGCGGGAGTCCCTGGCCACCAGCAGCTGCCGCACCACCATGATCGCCCACGTCTCAGATGCTCCAGCCCACCATGCTGAGACGCTCAGCACTGTGCAGCTCGCCGCCCGCATCCACCGCCTGCGCAGGAAGAAGGCCAAGGTGGGTTCTGCTCTTGCCCGCCATTCCCATCCTGAGGGTCCCCAGGCTCCTGAGTCCTCTGCAGGCCCTTGCTGGGCATGGTGGGGGGAGGGGGCAGCGGGCGGATGTCCTGGGCATCCTGGGATCACGGGGCTGCACCCACGTGGCCCTGCCTCGAAGGAGTGGGTGGCTGAGCCCAAGGCAGAATCGGAACTGCTTGCAGTGGGGCTTGTGGTCACCTGGTCCCTCCTCCAGCCAGCCATGGGGTGCTTGGGAGAGCCACACCGACTCAGCAGGGGACTTCCTGGGCACCCCTCACTGGGTCCAGAGGGTGGCGTTTGGGGTGTGCTGGAGTGAGACAGCCCCGGGCACGTGTTTTCACGTCTTTCTGAGTGTCTCTTTCCTTCCCTGTGATGTGGCTAATGCTGTCTTCCGTCCTAAGTCTCTAAGAAGAGTCGTCTGTGTTCTTTGCCTAAGACTTTTAGTTCCCAGAATTTGGCAGGACTTGGTGGGCGGATGTCGCCATTGTTTTTCAGCACAGGGACCACAGCGTTAAGCTGTTGGGGAGGGTCCAGGGAAACAGGAGGTGCAGTGGGAGTAGGACCGGTGCAGGGGAGGTGCGGCCGCTCACGTGGGCCTGCCCTGCCGCCCCCCAGTACGCGTCCAGCTCCTCCGGCGGGGAGAGCTCCTGCGAGGAGGGCCGGGCCCGCCGTAGCCCGCATCTGCGACCCTTCCACCCGCGCACTGTGGCCCTGGACCCCGACGGCCCAGCTCCCGGCCTGTCCGGCGACCCAGACTACTCGTCTAGCAGCGAGCAGTCCTGCGACACGGTCATCTACGTGGGGCCTGGCGGGGCGGCGCTGTCAGACCATGAGCTCACAGACAACGAGGGCCCACCTGACTTCGTGCCCATCATCCCCGCCCTGAGCCGCCGCCGGCCCTCCCAGGGCGCACGTGACGCTGACCACTTCCGCTGCAGCACCTTTGCAGAGCTGCAGGAGCGGCTGGAGTGCATCGATGGCAGTGAGGGCTCCTCGGGACTCCCGGGTGCCACCAAGGGAGCCCAGGCCAGCCCCGCCCGAGGCAGCAGGAAGTTCTCGCCGCCAGAGGCTGCGTCCTCCAGGAGGGCTATGGGCTCCCCGATGGCTGCCAGCACTCCTCGGGGCAGCCCTGGCCCAGACACCTACCAGGGTGTCCCTGAGCCCTCCAAGGCTGGCACCTGGGGTGACCAGACAGAGGATGGCAGCACCCAGTCTGAACTGTCTGCCCTGGACAAGGCCACAGAGGGCAGAGGCAGGAGGCCGCTGCCTAGCCCGGCTCCTCCACCTCCTCAGCAGCTAGAAGCTCACAGAGCCCCAGAGGAGCTTGGGGGAGGGGGCGCCGACAGCGTGGTACGGACACCCCCTGTGGGCATGAGCGGCCAGGCTGGCCAGTCCCCGCTGCTCCCAGATGTCACCTGCCCCCACCCATCTGCTCATGGCTGCCATCTGGAGCGAGGCCTGCTGACCACCACGGTGACCCTGCAGCAGCCTGTGGAGCTAAACGGCGAGGACGAGCTGGTGTTCACAGTGGTGGAGGAGCTGTCCCTGGGTGGGCTTGCCAGCGCCGGGCGTCCCACCAGCCTGGCCAGCTTCAGCAGTGATTGCTCCCTGCAGGCGCTGGCCTCGGGCTCAAGGCCCGTCAGCATCATCAGCAGCATCAACGATGAGTTTGATGCCTACACCTCGCAGGGGCCTGAGGGCCTGGGTGGCTCCTCCGTCAGCTCCTGGCTCAGTGAGGGCAGTGTCTGTAGTGCTGACAGCTGTGGCCCCCCGTCCCGGCCCCCCTTCAGCCCTGACTCCCTGGCGGGGCCCGATCCCCCAGGACCCCCAGCCCTGGACAGCTCCCTGGAGGACGGCAGCCTTGGGTTCTCAGAGCAGGGCAGACCTGACAGTCCCAGCCCAGCTGCAGCCCTGACCCGACCTGGCAGGCAGCCCCAGGCTGGGGCCCTGCGGGGGACAGCCCCAGCACAGACCATCCACTCCAGCCTGCCCCGGAAACCCAGGACTACCTCGGCGGCCAGTCGCACAGGCTGTGCCTGTCCAGGCCAGAGTCTGCAGGGTGCTAGAGCCCTGTTTGAGGACCCGTGGCTGCTGCGGGCAGAGGAACGTGATGTGCTCCAGGCGGCCTCTGCCTGCAGGGTCCCCAGCCCAACCCTGGGCTCCCCCCGGCTGCCTGAGGCCCAGGCGATACCGGCTTGTGCACAGAGGGTGGTGGACGGCTGTGAGGTGGCATCCAGGGTGGCCCACAGACCAGAGGCTGTGGCCCGGATCCCACCCCTGCGGAGGGGCGCCACCACGCTGGGCGTGACCACTCCCACTGTGTCCTGTGGAGACAACCCGCCTGAGGCAGCAGCCTGCTCCAGCAGCCTGAAGGCCTCCCCGAACAGCAAGAACAGTGTGGCTCCCAAGGGGAGCTTCTTTCTGAGGCCCAGTGGGGTGGCCCCTCCAGCCCCACCTGTGCGAAAGTCCAGCTTGGAGCACAAGAACAGCCCAGGCCTGGCCGCTACCCAGGCCGTGGGCCTGACCCGGGCCGGGGCTGCTGCTGTCTTCCGAGGGGAGGGGGAGGCCAGGCCCAGCAGCCGGGCTGACCACTCTGTTCCTAGGGCCACATCCAGTCTGAAGGCCCGGGCCTGCAAAGTGGAGGCTGCACACCGTCCTGCTGGCCATGCGTCTCTGGAGCGCTATGAGGGCCTGGCGCATGGCAGCGGCAAGATCAGGGAGGCTCCTGGGCGGCCGGCCCGGGCTGTGCCCAGATTGGGTGTGCCACCTGCCAGCCCCACGCCCGGGTCAGCTCCTGCTTGTAGGGGAAGCCCGGCCAAGGGTGTGGGAGTCCCCAAGCCCCCAGCTGGTGGGGCAAAGGGCCGTAGTCTTGCAGCCAGCGGGTCGCGGGCTCTGGGTGCTTCGGTGAAGCCGCTGGCTCCTGTGGCGGGCAGGACCCCAGGTGGCCCTGTGATGGGTCCCAGGGCAGCCCCACGGGCTGGGCCTGGCATTGGGGTCAAGGCCGGCCGGGGCACCATCATGGGCACCAAGCAGGCACTCCGGGCTGCCCACAGCCGCGTTAATGAGCTGGTGGCCAGTGGAGCCCCCGGCAGAGGCGGCCCCTCGTGGGGCTCAGCCGACTCGGACAGTGGCAATGACAGTGGTGTGAACGTAGGCGAGGAGCGGCCACCCATGGGCCCAGCCCTGCCCTCGCCCTACAGCAAGGTGACGGCGCCACGGCGGCCCCAGCGCTACAGCAGCGGCCACGGCAGTGACAACAGTAGCGTGCTGAGCGGAGAGCTCCCGCCGGCGATGGGTCGCACCGCTCTGTTCTATCATAGTGGTGGCAGCAGTGGCTACGAGAGCATGATACGCGACAGCGAGGCCACCGGCAGCGCCTCCTCCGCCCCCGACTCCACCAGCGAGAGTGGGGCCGCCTCTCCGGGTGCCCGCTCCCGCAGCCTCAAGTCCCCCAAGAAGAGGGCCACAGGTGGGTGGTGGCGCCGTGGGCACAGCCCTTCACAGTTGGAGACGCTTGGCAGATGGGCACAACCTTCACAGGTCCCCAACACACACGGCCCTCAACGGTTCACAAATGTGCCTGGGGCTTTTCAGCATGTCGATGTGTGTGGCCCTCTGCAGTTTATAAGTATGTCTGGTGTGTGCCCTTCTCTGATCCCTACACTACCCCAGAGGCTGGTCCTCATCCCTGGCAGAGCAGGCTGGCAGGGGCAGCCCTGCGTGGTTGTCCTGCTGGGGCACTGGGGAGCCAGGAGAGGACTTGGGTTTGGGGTTCCAGGCCCAGTATTCTCCCTGGTCGGTGCCTAGTTGTTTGACAGCCCCCACCAGGGGTGCCCTGGGGGGCAGAGCCACTGAGGCCAAGGCAAGGGTGGGATAGCAGAAGGCCCAGGTAGGGTAGGAGGTGCCAGCGCGGGCCTGCAGCCTGGCTCAAGAGTCTGGGCTGCCCCCTGTCCTGGGGCAATGGAGCAGGGAGGGTAATGAGTTAGAGAGCAGCGTGGCCAGCAGGGCGTCGGAGGGCTCCCTCTGGGGGATGGCTGACCATGCTGGTGTGGCTTCAGGTGAGAGGTGGCCAGAGGGGCTGGTGCAGGCATGGCCTTAGGGGACTGAGAGCCCTGGAGGTCAGGGGTGTTGTTTCCGAGGCAGGAGTGGCTATGTCTGATTGTTGTGGGGGGTGAGAGGCAGCACCCCCTGGGCAGTGGACGAACCCCCTGCCTGTTTGCTCACAGGGCCTGCCTGACCCAACTGGGGCGTGGTGGCCAAAGTCCTGGCTGGCACCAAGCTGAGCACTTCTGGATTGGGCCCACATGCTCTCCTGGTCAGGACCCTGGCCTGGCTCCTCCCAGCTCCCTGCTCTGTGTTCCAGGTCTGCAGCGGCGGCGGCTGATCCCGGCCCCGCTGCCCGATGCTGCTGTCCTGGGCCGCAAGCCCAGCCTCCCCGGGCAGTGGGTGGACCTGCCTCCCCCGCTGGCCGGCTCACTGAAGGAGCCCTTCGAGATCAAGGTGTACGAGATCGACGACGTGCAGCGTCTGCAGAGGCACCGCCCGCCCCTGCGCGAGGGTGCGGCTGAGGTCAGGGCCTGCAGTGGGCTGGGGCTGGACACTGTGAGCCAGGGGCAGGAGGCTTGGCTCTGTGCTGGCAGAATAGGCCATCTGATTGGGGCTTCCAGGCCCATGGGGGTGCAGTGGGCAACCCCCCCGACCTCACTTTTCCTCTGTCCACAGCCCTCCCAGGATGTGGAGAAGGTAGGAACCAGCCCTGCCCAGCCCCAAGCCTCTGTTGTTCCCCATTGCACCCCTTGGGCAGAGGATGGGTGGCTAGAGGAGGTCCTGAGGCCACTGCTGCTGTCCCCTGGCATTCTACCCAGTGGGGGGGTCCCAGAGCCATATTTCCACTCTTCCCTGGGCCCGGCCCCCTGACAGGCACTGTGTGCTGCCCCAGGAGCACCCGGTGTGGGCCCACCTCTGAGTCCTACCCCTGCCCACCTTGGAGGGCCCACTGTGTGCCCGCCCAGGCCCGGCAGGGGGTGGGGGGTCACATGACCAAGGCCGGGGTTCTGGGGGTTCCTGGAGAGAGGGTCATGGCCCACCCCATGGGTGCCCATGTCCTCCACGCCTGAGCCCACCCTGCCCATCTTCTGCTGCCCAGGGCCCGGTGTGCGTGAGTGCGAAGCTGCGGCTGGCAGAGCGCAGGCAGCAGCGGCTGCGGGAGGTGCAGGCCAGGCATGACCGCCTGTGCGAGGAGCTGGCTGAGACCCAGGGCCGGCTGATGGTGGAGCCCGGCCGCTGGCTGGAGCAGTGTGAGTGCCACCCCGCCCCACCGCTGCCCTGCTCTCCCCGCCTGCAAGCCAGCCGCCCCACTGAGCCCCTGGTGTGCTGTGTAACACGTGGCGGGACCCTCTGCCTCGAGGGAGCTGGGAGGGGAGAGTCAGCCGGACCGAGATGCCTTTTCTGGGGCCTTCGGAGAGCCAGGCTGCTGTCCCTGCCCGGGGCCTGACCCCCGTGTCTGCTGTCCCTCCCTCCCCAGTTGAGGTGGACCCGGAACTGGAGCCCGAGTCCGCCGAGTACCTGGCAGCGCTGGAGCGAGCCACGGCCGCTCTGGAGCAGTGCGTGAACCTGTGCAAGGCCCACGTCATGATGGTCACCTGCTTTGACATCAGTGTCACCACCACCACCACCATCTCGGGGCCACAGGAGGTGGACGTCTGAGGCCGGGCTCCAGATATAGGGGAGGGGTAGCGCAGGGGGCATGAGGACGGGACGTGGGATGGATCGAGGATGTGGAGGGGGTTGGAGGAGGAAGACGCAGAGGGGTTCTGTGCAGGACGGGGGTCTCAGAGCAGGCGGGCGTGGGGGAGGGGGCCGGCCACACGGCGGGCGGGCGAGGGTGCAGGGGAGACTGGAAGACTGTCGCCACCCAGACAGCAAGTGCCTTTATCCTTGACTTGGACTTTTCTCCTTTTTGCGTTTGGTGCTAGGGACTCAAGACACCAGCAGTGCTCGGGCCGAGGCTCGGGAGGCGGCTGCGACCGTCTGGCCCGGGCCAGAGCCCGTTGTTTGTATCCAATCTCGCCTTCTGTACAGCCGAGCAGTTTTGTGTAGCAGGACAGACCTGTGCTCACGGGGCTCGTCCTTAGGGTTCAGGGTGATTTTTCTTTTGCAGGGTTTCCTCTCGGCAGAGCCTGCGGTCTGTGTGTAGTTCGCAGCACAGATCTGTGCCAGCCAGGTCTTCTGGGTGGGGATGGCCGACCTCGAGTCCCCTCCCTTCCCGGAGGACCTGCTCTGTCCCGAGGACCCCACAGGCAGTGAGCAAGGCCTGAGCCACGGGCACATGATGCCTTCTTCCACGGCAGGAATTCTTACCAAAACCACAAGCAAAAAACAAAACAAACCATCACCAACGTCAACAAAGATGTGGGGATAGGGTTTTGTAAAGGTTCTGTTAGGTTCATATTTTTCTATCATTTTGCCTATAAATGCAGAATTTGCAGTAGGAATTTGGAGACAAATGATCTATGTTTTTATGATTTTCTACAGAAGGTGTCCCTCAGGCCAGGCTCTCTCCAGCTCTTTTGGGGGAGGGGCACCCTGGACAGGGTGGGGGGCCCTTGGGAGGCGCTTCTTGCCAAATGCCGATGAGGGGTGAGCCTGCCGGCGTACGTGACGTCCCCTGCATGACAGGTTCATGTTTTCTGACCATTGTGCATTTTGTAGGGTGTCCGAGCCTTTGTACAAACATGTAGATAATGTCTTGCTGCAACTTTTATTTGTGAATAAAACATGCGTTGATTGCTCACGTGGCTCCCAAGTTCTCTGGGCGGCCCCGGACCCCTCACCACCCAGGGGTGCTGCCCTCTGCAGTTCCCTGGAGTAGGGGGGCAGTGGGCACTGGAGGAATGCATCTGTGGGATCTAAGGTCTTCAGGGAGCTGTGCCAGGGACTCACCTCTGCCCACAGCCCCTGCAGGACCACCATGCAGGCGAGGGAACCATTCCTCTCTGAGTCCCCCAAGACACCTCTTGCCTCTGCCCAGATCTTGGGGTCCCCAGGCAGGGAGCCAGGTGAGGGGCTAGGCTGGCAGGAAATAGCCTTTGCTGGTGGGCTTCTGGTACCCTCCCTACTTGGTCATGTCATCTGGGGAAATCAGGGCAAGGGTGACAGTCACCCCTCTGGAGAGATTTGGGCTCCTGCCTTTACTATCTGCCTGCCTTTCTGGGAGACACACGAGCAGACAAACACCTGTAGGCACATCAAGGCTCAGGACCCCCAGAGCCAGCAGGAGCCCCACACCTAGCACTGCCAGCCCCTCCCCTGGGGGCTTGGATCTTGGCTTGTACCTGGAGGAGTAGGCCCTGGCTCTGTTTTGACCTCAGTACTCTGGCTCTCTGGTGATCCAGAACCCCACGGATCCTTCAGGGCAGACTCGCCCCTTGGAGCTCACTGGGCCTGTTACCTCACCTGACCTGCAGTGTGCCTTCCTGGTGACCTTGGGCCAGGGCTTCGGCTGCCTCCTGGTCTGCGCTGGGATCCTGTGGGCCTCTCACAGTGAGCGCGTCCCCAGCTGAACAAATTAGCTTCCCCCCAAACCTGCTCCTCTGTCCCCATGCTGGTGCCCCTGCCCCCCCCCCCAGGTCTTGGAAGGCTGCACATGGGCACTCTCCCCCCTGCATGCTTTGGCTGGCTTCAGGCACCCCCCAGTGCCGCTCCCTGCCATCTGGGCTCCAGCACACCTCGGCCCCTTCCAGCGGCCCCTATGTCTGAGACTCCCCTCCACGGCTGCAAGTGGGGGCATGGGGGCTCCTCCTAGGTGGCATGTGCGCCTTGTGTGGTCTCTGTCTATCTCCCAGCCTCGACGGGGCCCGGGGGGTATTGGGTCTGAGTCATCATTGCAGCCCCGATGGGTGCAGGGCTGGCCCCTCCATGAGGCCTCTGGGGTGGGGGCACTTGTTGCAGGAGTGAGTGGGTGAGCATGTGACAGCAGGCCTGAGACGGCAGCACCTGGTGGTATGCAGAGCACCTCCCGCCTGGACCCTCACTGTTCTCCCCAGACAGACCTGGTCCCTTGTGTGGTGTGGCCCTGTGGGTCAGGCCACAGAGCCATCCACACCCAGGCCCCCACCCCACGCTGCAGATGGCACTTGGGGCTCCAGCCCCTGGGAGCGGGGTCACACAACTGGGGAGGCAGTGCGGCCCCTGACTCCCCGCTCCACCCTCAGGCTCTCCTTTTCTATTTTGAGGCCAGATTTGGCTCCCAGCTGGAATCCAGACTTCTGGGAAGGACGAGGTTATTTTTAACCAGCCAAGTGCCATCGAAGCCAGCTTCTGTCACTACATTTGGAGGAATGGGGAGGGGGACGTGCAGGGCAAAGTGTGGTGGAACTTGGGGCAGGTTGGGGAGGTTCTCTCAGGACCCTGCTCTCAGGAGAGAAACTGAGAAACCCACCTGGTCCATGGTCCTGTAAACCCTGTGCTATGACCTCTGACCTTCTGCACAGAGGCACTGGCTGGGCACCAAGTCCTCAGGGACCAGACAGGGCCAGGCCCGGGCAGGGGTACGAGGAGGCTGGGGGGCCTGCCCTGGAGCTTGGATCCATGGTGCCGTCTCACCTGCAGGTGGGCGGTGGGTGCTTGGGGAATGTCTGGTGGGTCCCTTCCTTCTGCAGAGAACACCCCGGCTCCCTCCCCTATCCCTTGTCACTGGAAGGGCCCAGAGGCTGCCTTTTGTGGGGGGACCCACCTGGGGTCCTCACCACCTGCCCCTGCCATCATCCTGGCTGGGGCCTCTGTGGGCCATGCTGGGCTGGGGGTGCTGGCTTCGGAGCGGGCCAGGTGGAGCCACTTCCCACAGTCCAGGCTGGGCTTGGGGAGGGCCGTGCCTGCTTTTCTGGCCGGGGAATCCACGGTCCTGCGGCCAGCCTGGGAGCCTTGGGTGGCCTTTCATCTGAAACATCAAAGCCCTCAGCCCTGTTATTACAGGCTGGGAACCCAGCTGGGAGCAAAGTACGCCCATTTTATGGATGGGAAAGCTGCAGCCACCCAGGACCCAGCTCTTTGAGTAAAGCCAAAGCCAAGGCTAATGCCGCCTGTAGAGGGTCTGTGTGCATTCTGCTTATTGAACATTTAGGGATACTGAGGCCCAAAGAGGGCAGGGGTTGCTCAAGCCTCTACTCAGGTGTTCTTCCTCCTTGGGGAAGGGGCAGATTTGAAGTGTGCAGGGCTTTCTCTTGGAGGGTCCGGATGAGCAAAGCCTGGGGATAGGAGTGGGGTCACCAGGGAGCTGGCTGCTAAGTGTGGAAGGCTAGGAGGAGGGGAGGGTGGCCATCCGGGGCCTGGCCAGGGGCCTCCGCCAGAGCAGAGGCTCAGGGCACCTGCTTGGGCTGAGTGGGGGTGCAGGCATGAGCCTAGGTGCTGTCTCTCATGGCCTCTGAGGCTGGCCTGGCACCTGGCCAGCCTGTCCCCCCATCCCCCACCCTGGGGTGAGGTGCCCGCCTGACTCACCCTGCGAGTCCAGGCCTGCTCTACCCTCCCTACCCACCCAGGCCTGGCACTGGAGGCTACATGGGGAGGTGGGACAGGGTGGGGTGACCAGGGGCAGCAGGCTCATAGGGCCTAGGGGGTGGCTGAGAAGAGGCTTGGGCAGGGGCAGGCAGGTGGGCAGGAGCTGAACTACTTGGGGTCCCCGGGGAGCTGCCCCACCCTGCCTGGCTCCCAGAGTGAAGGGAGAGATCCATGGTCACAGTCTGGCTCCCTGGTGCTTGGCCAGGCCTGCTGCCCCCCTGTGGTCACTCTCCCGGCTGGGGATTATGGGGGGCTTCCCTTCTCCAACGCCTGGGATTGGGGAGGAGAAGGAGCCAGAGCCCCCCTCCCTGGAATGAAGAAGTCTTCCTGTCTGGGCAAAGGGGCACGGCAACCCCAGCCTGTGATTTCAGGTGCCGAGGCAGCAGCTGGAGCTTGGAGAGTGAGCATGGGCCCTTGTCTTGTGGTCACGAGCACAGAGGCAGTGAGTGACCTATGGCGATGGCCATGGGAGGTGAAGCTGGGGTGTGTGTGGTGACAGTGGTAGCAATACGCTGGGGAAGGTGGCAGCAGATGTCAGTGTGCCTGGCAGACAGCGTGTGCATTCTGGGACCTGAATCACAGCACAGTCCTCTCTCATCCTTGCCTGGTCCCTTCTCTGCCATCTCTGTCCTGGGCTCTGGCCCCACTGAGCCAGCTGGAAGGTGGCCCGGGGCCTGCTCGCTGCCTGACCTATCTTCCCCCGGCAATGGGAGCGAGGTCACAGCAGCAGCCTCCGTGGGGCTCTCGCTGGGCGGGGGTGGCCTGGGCAGCCCGAGGTGATGGGCCTCCATAACCAGCAAGGGTTGTTCCCAGTGACACCTGCATTCTCTTGGAGTCAAGGCAGGGTGGGGTGGGGAGACGCGGCTGGTCTCGGCATGTTTCTGAGCCTCAGTTTCCTCCTTTGCTCACGTCACGGTCTATGTGTGTGTTCATGGCTCAGCGCCTGTTCCCACATGTTTCCCCCTCAAACCCCCACTGTGCCTAGGGGTGCATGGTGCCTGGGCTCTCTGGAAGTGGCCTCAGGGACCCACCCCATGGTCCCTGGGGAGTCTGAGGAGGCCCCTGCTCTGTGACTGCCCCCACCTCCAGGGTCTGGGGGTGGAGACCCTGCTGCCTGCTCCACTCCTGGGGCAGGAGCGGGGGCAGAGCTG